TTCTATATAGTACATGGCATGTAGTATATTTGGTATTATGTAGAATACGGCAGTACAGCCTTCACAATCGCTCTACAATTTTCCCAGTCTGATTTTGCGACTCCTGACATGAAATAAACTATTTGTCCTAAAGTGAATTAACGGCATACTTTATCTACTTCCATATTCGCCCTCTGTTTATTTGTTCGAGGCGCATGTCACGCATATTTATATTAGCATATGAACTCGATATTATTATTAAATAATGGGTGATAAAAACGCATTTGTTTTTATTTGATCTGCAATTTGTTTATATCACGCTTCCAACACGCACAATGAACGAGTTGGATGATATATTTTAATATTTTGTTTAAACGATAGTAAAACTGCCGAGCACTTGAACTCGTAGTTTTCCTTATTGATATATTTTGAATGCATAACACAATTATTGTAAATATATTTTAATCTTTATTTCTTGTTAATCGTTTTACATAAATCTAACTATTTTCATGCGAATTTTATTAATGTGAAATTATTTGCTACAAGGCGTTGTTACCCGTTGAACGATTCAAACCAAAAAGAAAGTTTCTTAGCTTAAAACCCAAAACGGAAGCTGCTCTCATGTCTCTAGTCTAGCTTAAAGCTTACTTCATTCTCCATTTGTTGCCAAACAGCTGATTTCTAGTGTTTGACAACGTTAAGTTGATGAAGCCTTTAAAATTAAACCAAGCCTTACGTTAAGGAGACTTAACAATGGGCTATGAATGTGCCACTAAATCAAAAATCTATTGTGTGCCTAAATGCCCAACTGAAATAATTCTAAACTGGTTAATAATGCCGTTATTGCTATGGGCTTAATTTTATCTATTTAATATTCCCGGTTTAATAATAGCTACGTCTACGTCTTGCCGCTGCCAGGCAGTTGCGTAGAACATGTTCTGATGTTTCCTTTTCCTCATGAGTCGACAGGAATTATTTTCTTCCACATCTATATTCTTCATGTAGTAACTGAGCCCACAGTGTTCTGTAAAAAGTTCTGTTAAGGATAGCATCAATTTTGTTGTGTTCAAGATCAATAAATTTTCTTAATTGCAGCATGCCTGTTTGGCTGTAAAAAAATCATAGCACAATAATTTCCAGAAGCCATAACAAAATAGATGGAAATTTTAACGCTTCATACAAAACTATGCGTTTTAAACTTCCTTATAATATTACTTGCGAAACTGCATAACCGCTTTGCAACTACTGAAAACACATACCTTTAACTTGTATTACACCAAGCGCGAATTCTTTTGTACCAAGCATATATAGATAATTGTATTCTTTAACTCTGAGGAAGAGCAGAGGGCTGCAAGAAAGATCTTCCACTCGGTACTATTGTTGGCTAATAGCTTTAATTCTCCACAGCTTTTCCGCATGTGTTACATTTCCATATTAATATGCCTTCTCCAAGTGAGTGCAGGTCTGCCCCTTCTTTTGCTACCCATCGGGTTTCACTCAATTGTCATTCTTGTGATCTTTTGGTCTACGCAAAGTGTGGCCGACCCCTTCCCATTTGCGTTTTTTGATTTCGTTTGTTATAGGAGTTTGTTGTGTTGAAGACCACAGACGTTCATTTGAAATTGTATTTGGCCAGAATACTTTAACGATTTTGCGTAATGATTTATTTAGGAAAACTTGTAGTGCATTTATGCTGTTTGGAGAAATATTCCAGTATTAACATCCATATAGCAGACAGGATTTATGTTCGTATTTTAGTCCGGTGCGATAGCTGAGATGGTCTCCAGAGTTTATTTTAGCGACCAAACTCTTGTTTTGACTTTTTGATACCGTTCTCAATGTCAGCACTGGATCCACGATTTGTTGACATGATTCTTCCAAGATAGCAAAAAGATTATATCCTCAACACTGCAGTTATTTATAATGAATGGATCTTGCACGAAAGCATTAATGCGCTTAACTTTTATTTTGGCATCATTGATTTTACGTCCCGCTCTGTTTCCCGCAGTTACTAAACGATTTAGGTTGCGAGACATGTCATTATATCTGTGTGTCAGCAGACGCAATTCATCGGCGTAATCAAGATCAGGCAAGCGATCTTGAAAACCCCAAATAATTTCGTCACCTTGGCCCAATGCCTCTGCCAAAACCATGTTGTTGAACGATGTTGAGCAGCAACGGCGATATTACGCAACCCTGTCGAACACAGGTTTTTATAAGTATTTTGTTGCTTAGATCTTTCTCGTGCAGTACCCGACAACTGACATCCGCCCTTTTGAGCAAGCGCATTCTAAATAACGGTGTGAAATAATGTATCAAAGGCCTTTTTGAAGTCTATAAATAAGAAATAGAGAGGTGATCTCCATTCCACAGACTATTTAACGGTTACTCTTAGGCTGTTTATGTGATCAATACAAGAGTTGTAAGGTCGGAATCCAGCTTGTTCTCTGCGCAGTGTTACTGTTAATACTGTTAAAAGTCTGTTGGCCCGCGTTCGTGCATGATTTTTCTCAGCTTTCTTAGTCTCTCTGTTTTCAGTTAAGCACTACGTTTCATCTGATATCCATTGTGAGCGTTAACGATTATAGATGACAGATGGTAATAATATTGAATTTTTCAAGTTTTTGGATATTAATTTTCTTCGGCATTTTGGGTTTGTTGTCACTTATTTTTTAGCGGATGTTGGCGATGATTAGGTGGTGATCGCTAAAAAGATCTGCTCCTCTGCAATTCCGTATATCCAGCAGAGATCCATGCAGTTTCTTAGGGATGGTGAGGTGATCGATTTGATATTCAGTTTTATGATCTCGCGATACCCATATGATTTTATATATGGACTTGTTCGGAAATATTGTCCTTCCTATGACCAAGTTGCTCGTTGCGCACATTCCAGTACAACTCGAACCATTTTCTATTTTCCTGCCGATGCCATGTTTGTCCATACAGTTTTCTAGGCCCGTGTTTTCAACGTTAACTTAAGTATTAAATCATCCGTGACAATTAGTATATCGCTTCGTTGAACACATGAAGTAGCTCTATCAAAGGTATTGTAAAACTCTTTCTTAATGGAAAAGTCTGCATCTTCGGTAAATGCGTAGCATTGAATGAAAGACAAATTTCTGGCTCGGGTCCGTAACCTTATGGAAAGGATCCTGTCTCAGAAAGCCTACTAGCTCATCAGTGCATTGCAAGTCTGTCTTGAGAACAAAAACCCGACTCGGCTGGTTCATTCTACTATCAGAGAAAATTATGGTGTGGCTGACTACTGTTGTTTGGTCACCAGTGTCACGCCAACATACTTCGGAAAGGCTTTAGAAGTTAAGTTTATCGTTTTAAAATTCATTGCACAGGTGCGCAAGTTGCGATAATTCTAAAAGCGTCCTCACTTTCCTGATTCTAAAAGCGTCCTCGTGTGTTAGTTTTCATGCTCAAGATCGTCATCGAAAAGTTGTTGCCATTTCTATTATTATTTACTGCGGTTTCGTTGGTCAGTTGGTTTAAGATCGGCAGGTGATTTGCCTACCCCATCCGATTCTGATATTGGGGCTTTCAACTGTTGCCTCCAGACCGACAGAAAATATTGTGACAGTTCTCCTTTTGAAGGTATACAAGCGCAGCCGTTGATCAGTTACGGTTTCTCTGCCGCCGTCTCTTACAAGTGATATAATTATTATTTTAATTTAGTTTTTATATGATATAAGCCCTAATTTTTTTCCCGAGTTGTAAAAAAACAACATTTAGTCCAATTCAAAAAAAATTGGCATCACTTTCAAAATGTATTGTCATTTTTTTGACATATCTTTTATTGTGTTGTATACAATAGCTGCGTTTCAGCAAACATGATCCGCTCAATTTTACATGCAAAACAGAAACAATGGGGTGAACCAGGAATTGAACTGGTTCATTGAGGAATGTATGTAAAAAATAAAAGTGGAACGTTTTTTAATGCAAATGTGTTAAAAAAAACTATAAAGTAAAAATATAAACAAATCTACATTAATATTTATTTATTATTTATTTGATATATTTATTATTTGTTTTATGTATTTATTTATTTAATATGTCATTATTAATATATTTAATTATTCCCGCTTTTATATTATTGAAAAAGTGTTGTTTCAGAATTTATTAAATTCAAATAATTTGAATATATAAAATTAAGTTGAATTTGTTTATTTAATTAAAATAGAACAATGCATTATTTACTTGTAGAATATGCTTTATTCTTAACAATTCTTTGCAACTCATTTGTAAATGAATCAATCAGGCCTATTCTGAATCGCATGGGAATGGGAGTTTGTTCCCTGTTCCCAAGTTTGCTATACTGTATAATTTGGGATTGGGAGTTTTGTTCCTTGTTCCCAATTTTGCTATTCTGAATTGTATAGGAATGGGAGTTTTTTCCCAATTTTGCACAAATTCTTTCTCAAGCAAATTGTTGGGGAGACAAGTTAAAAAAGTATTAAAAATGGTTTAATTTAATATAAAAGTAACTAAAAATGATCAGATTTTTGAATATATTTTAATAAAATTATTATTATAATAAAATTATTACAATAAATTTAATATTTTCAAAGTTTTATTTTTTTATTTTATCCACAAGAGTTGATTAGTTTTCCGAATATATTTTAATAAATTTATTTTAATAGTGTTATTGACCAATTTTTAATAGCAAAACAAGTTATTTGTGTGTATTGTGATGTAATGTAATGCTTTAAAATCTTAAAACAAATTTATTAATTTCTAATACTTAAAATTAATTATTTTTTCACTTACTTTTGGTCGTGACAACCGCCTTGCCTCTACCGGAACTCAAAAACAAAAGCCCAGCACAAATGACAATCAGCTGACACATGAACTGACAGTTCATGTGTGCACTGGGTTGCATTTTCTAATTATAGCTGCACGGTTGCAACGACCAAAGCAAGTTTACAAACATTTTACGCACATTAACCTTTGGGTATGGAGTGGAGTTCTAACATTCTCCCCCCAGTATCTCTTTAATAAGAATACGACTTACTCTAAACTGCCGCTCCACGAACATCTAATACGGCTAATTTTGCAGCAGGTCTATGATATTGCCCTCGAGTAGTCTGCACTATGGCGCTCCTGGTCTGCCCGTCCCTTGCTTTAATGGCACTAATTACAATTCCTTTCGGCCATGTGTAGCGAGGAGAATTTGGGTCAACAATAATGACGACATCACCTGCTTCGATGGGTTTTATCTTACCAAACCATTTCGTCCGTCTTGTCATCGTTGGAAGCACCTCTTGTATCCATTTTTTCCAGAACCGATCGGCAAGGTATTGCGAATGCCTCCAGGAGGATTTCACGTGCTCGTCGTTAGTATCGAACTTCCCCGGCGGCTTGTTCCCGGAAGATGACCCCAACAAGAAATGATTCGGAGTTAACGCTTCTTCGCTTGCTGTTTCAATCGACAAATAAGTGAGCGGTCTGCTATTTATGATTGATTCTACCTCGCAGAACAGGTTATGCATCTTTTCATCATTAATTTTTGCTTGCGGGCTTATTATTGCTCCTAACACTGTTTTTATGGATCGCACCATCCGCTCCCACGCTCCACCCATGTGCGGCGCAGCTGGTGGAAGAAAAACCCATTGTGTTTCCGGACTTGTAAATTCAGCTTGCAATTCATTGAAGTCCACGTTTTTTATTGATTCTCGTAACTCCTTTTCAGCTGCTGTTAAGTTTGTTCCATTGTCACTATAGATGACATTCGGCACTCCTCTTCGGGCTATGAAATTTCGTATCACTATACAACACGAGCTGGCTGACAGGCTATAAGCTATCTCCAAATGCACTGCTCGACACGTAAGGCATGTAAAAACGACGCCATAGCGCTTCTCTGAGCGCCTTCCTACTGTTACAGTATACGGGCCAAAATAATCTATTCCAACATGTGAGAATGGTCGGGAGTATGCTGATAGTCGTGCTTCTGGTAACACACTCATCTCCGGCGGCTTTGGACTCGCATCGCGAACCTTGCAATGTTGGCAATTATTTCTTACCTGCTTTAACAGTCTACGCAGTCCCGGAATGTGGTATTTCTGAAAGATTTCGTTAACCACCGTTTCATGATTTAGATGTTTCCATTTTCGATGATACCAGTCTACGATCAACTTAGTTATGTAGTTTTTCCTTGATAGTATAATTGGGAATTTGGTTGAATCATCGATGCATACGGCTTTATCTAATCTACCTTTTAATCTTAAAACATTCTGTGCATCTATGAATGGTGAAAGTTTTCGCAAAGGGCTAATTTTAGAAAGAGTAATATTAGTGTCTCTATTTAATGCGGTCATTTCTTTCTTGTAATCCTGTAACTGGGCTGTCTGGTACAAGAAATTTTCACTCCATTTCAGTTCCTCAACTGACAAGCATTGGTTTACAGATTTCTTCTTTTTCATTTCATTAGTTGATAGTAAAGACATAAATCTTTTCACATAGGCCATGCATCGAACTAAACGTTCCCACTTTGAAAATCGGTAGACATCTATGAGAGGTTCCTCCTCTGCTACATGAGCCACCAACAATCGTTGCTTTCTGATTTCAGCATCTTCGTTATATTTCTGTACGCCAACATTATTTGGCCAACAAGTTTCTGCTTCATACAGGAACTTCGGTCCCTTATACCAAGGGTTTTTCCAAGTAAAGTCTAGATTACTAGTTTGTTTTGTAGCCAAGTCCGCAACATTTAATTTTGTAGGAATGTACCGCCATTGTTCTGCTTCGGACAACTCCTGGATTTCTGCTATGCGGAACATTACAAATTGTTTGTAATCTCGTGGGTCAGATTTTATCCACGATAGAACAGCCTTTGAATCGCTCCAATACGTTATACTGGTCACTTTCAAATCTATTGCCCTTTTTATGTTGTTTCCTAAGCGTGCTCCCAATTCCCCCGCGAGTAGTTCCAGTCTTGGAATTGATATTGGTCGTAATGGTGCAACTTTTGCTTTAGAACATATCAATGAAACATCTATGTTGTTGCGATTCTTCGCTCTTAGGTACACCACCGCTGCATATGCAACCTCACTTGCGTCCACAAAGACATGCAATTCAATGGAGTCTGCATCCTTATTAACCGAAGCGAAGTAACATCTCGGTATCTTCACATTTTTCACACCGCCAAGCAGCGACAGCCATTTGTTCCACTCATCAACTAGCTCATTAGGAATAGCGTCATCCCAGCTAACTCCACTTCGCCAAACTTTTTGAAACAAAATTTTTACGTCAATAATGTAAAAGGTAAGCATCCCTAAAGGGTCGAATATTGACATCATCAATCGTAGCAACTCTCTCTTCGTAGGTAATCTATATCCACTTAGAACATCCTCAGTGGCTTTGGTAAACTTCAGATCAAATGTGAGCATATCAGTGTCGGTTTGCCAAGGATTCCCAATACCTTCTCTGCCTCAAATGTATGGTCTATACGCCTTCCAGCCGAGCAAAATTGAAATTCCTGGCCTTGGTTACCTATAGCTTTCAGCACTGCGTTAGAATTTGAAACCCAATTGCGAATATGGAAATTTGCTTTCTTATGAATATTTCTAACCTCATTGACTAGATTAATCGCTTCCTCCACTGTGTCGACGCTATCCAGCATGTCATCTACATAATGCCTTTGTAAAATACATTTCACTGCTCGCGGAAACTCGGTTTCGTATTCGCGGGCATTACTATTTTTTACCAGTTGTGCCAACGATGGTGAACATGTTGCCCCAAAACTCATAACTTGTAGCAAATAAACGTCTGGTGGTCTGCTATCGTCACAATTTCTCCACAGGAAGCGTTGTGAATGTTGATCTTCTTCTTTCACGAGTACTCGATGAAACATCTCTTTAATGTCGCCACTTCTACCAATTTTTCCGATTCTGAAATTAACAAGAACATCTACCAACGAAGTGAGCAGATCTGGACCTTTCTCCAAACACGCATTTAACGAGACTCCGTCATATTGTGCAGCTGCATCCCACACTAGTCTTTGCTTTTGTGGTTTATTCGGATTACTGACTGTAAACATCGGTAGGTACCATTTACGTGGATAACACCCCTCGGCTTCGTTAGGTTTCAGCTGGCGTTTATAACCTTTCGCCTTCATGTCATCGATGTGATCACATACCCAGCTTTGCAATGTTACATTGGATTGCAGCTTGCGCTCAAAGCACTGAAGTCTACGCAACGCCATTAAGTAATTATCCGGCATAGTAATGTTATTTGATTTCCAAAGCAATCTTGTTACAAAGTATTCACCATTTCGACTTATTTTTGATTGCATACTTCTTTGTTGTTCCAACTCCATATTTTCTAGTTTTTTCTTACTTTCAATAACGTTTTCATTACTGACAAAATCTTTCACTAAACGCTGCAAACTTAGATCATCATCGCATTCACAGATGTGTAAATTTAACGTTTCCCTAATAGTATTAGGTTCGTGCTTAATTATTCCATATATGGTCCAACCGAGTCGAGTTTTCGTTGCAGCTGGCTCATTCTTGCCTCCCTCTCTGAACTTCATTGGCATAGCTACCTCTTTATTGCTTAGGCCGTTTATCATTCGAGGCCTAACGTTTTGATACGATTCTACTGGTAGTCCCTTTAAATGTTTATACTTATCGGTAAGTTCTGTCATATTTAAAGATTGCTCGGGTAGCTCCAGCTTAGCTACTGAACGCACATTGCACAACGAATACCTTTTACCTTCGCGTATTTTGGAGACTTGCAGGTTGACCAGCTCAGAATCAGGTTCCTTGCGTACCGTACCATCTGTCCATCGTAAACAAAGATCTTTCATTTCACCTTTAATCCGCAGTTGTCTTAATACGTCTTTTTCTATTAACGTTGGACCAGATCCGTCATCCAGAAAGGCATAAATGTTGCAGGTAACACCATTTCCATATATTGTAACTGGAACAATTCTATACAGCGCTTGTGAAGTTAGTTGATGATGAACCGCCAACGTTTCATTTGCCCCACTTGCAGTTGAACTTGTTTGTTTATGTAGCAATGGGTGATGTTTCATGTTGCAATTGTGTATATCGCACTCTCGGGTGCTCTTGCACGTTCGAAAATCATGCTGCAGTAGACATCTTCCACATAGTCTCATTTCACGCACTACGTTCCACCTCGCGTCTGTTTTTAGTGTTCTAAACTTTGCACACTTTTTCAACGCATGTGCCTCCTTGCAATAAAAGCATGCTAGAATTTTGTGCTTATCGCCTACTGCACCCTGAGGTTCTTCTTCGTGAAAATTAATGCGTTGCGCTTTGCGCCTTTCATTATCTACACTGGCTCCAGCACTAAAAACGGGCGATACATTACTTGCTGCTTCTGCTAGTTCATATATCCAGTTGCCGAATGTTTTAAGTGTTACATTGATATTACGCGATGCAACAGCCCACTGCAATCGCATCTGCGGTGGTAGTTTTTCCACAAGCTCTTGGATAAGCAACGGGTTCACTAAGGGTGAATGTAACTCTGAAGCCTCCATAGTTGCGATCAAATTTTTTACCTCTAAGGCGAACGTAACAATTGTGTCCAATTTATTTATATTAATGTACACTGCTCGAATTTTAGTAATTAAGTTATTGATTATGTGTTCTGGTCTTCCAAATACCATTTGAAGAGTTGACATTATTTCCGGCACTAATGCTGGTATCATGAGCCTACTGCTAACATATTCAAGTGCCTTACCCTTAAGGGCACGTTGCAATCGTAAAAGATTCTCGTCTTCACTGAAACCGCATAAACGTGTTGAATTGCTGAAACTGCTGTAGAAAAGTGGCCACTCTTCCGGTTTTCCGGTAAATATAGGCAAATCTCGTGGAACGACATGACGCGCATTAATTTGTTCTATCATCAGCGCCGGTATAACTTTCGATACTGCTTGGGCTTCCGCCCTATCAGCTGAACCACCCAACTGAACACCACAACCTTCGTTTGGCTTGCTGTCATCGTTGTTCATACCAACCTGCTTCTTCACCCATTCTAGCGTCCTATGTGTCCTTACCTCACTCATGCCTTCACCCTTAACATCATCCTCGCCTACATACTTCAGCATTATTGTACGTTTCTTTTCTATATATTTCATTTCGGCTTTTCTTTGCTCTTCTAAGTACTGCAGTTCGATTCTCATGCTGTTTCTTGACATGATTGAACCGCCCTTACTTACCAAGTCCTCCTCACTTGGTGCCTTATTCGGAACCGCTTCTGAAACCTGCATTACCGTGTTGCATTTTTCGCAACTCCAAGGCAGGTCTGCAATGCTGTCATCTACGCCCACGCATGCAAAATGACTCCATTGGTCACATGCGTCGCATTGCACCATCTTTCCAGTCTTCACCTTTTTGCACACGGCACATTGTACAGTCGACTTCTGGCTGCCGGATGACATATTTTTCTTTTTATATGTGTTCCCGATTAAAAGGATTTTTTCGGATTTCTTTCCAGGCAAATCGCCACACTATTTTCTTTTCTCGATTACCGCAAGATTTTTACAGCTTGCCACAAAAATTTTAAAGTTTGTTATTGACCAATTTTTAATAGCAAAACAAGTTATTTGTGTGTATTGTGATGTAATGTAATGTAATGTAATGCTTTAAAATCTTAAAACAAATTTATTAATTTCTAATACTTAAAATTAATTATTTTTTCACTTACTTTTGGTCGTGACAACCGCCTTGCCTCTACCGGAACTCAAAAACAAAAGCCCAGCACAAATGACAATCAGCTGACACATGAACTGACAGTTCATGTGTGCACTGGGTTGCATTTTCTAATTATAGCTGCACGGTTGCAACGACCAAAGCAAGTTTACAAACATTTTACGCACATTAACCTTTGGGTATGGAGTGGAGTTCTAACAGTCTATTTGGTTTTGACTTTATAACCAGCACCGGTATTTGTAATTTTTAACGTCGTTTATTGATTTATAAAAAATAATGTGCAAGTAAATAATTTATAAGTACATTAAAGTAGCTGTGGTAAATCCAGAAGGTGTGTATTTATGATTTTACCAATTTAATGTTAATTTTAATTTTCCTAACTTCAGACTACTTCACGTGTTGCTGTTGTGGGTAGTCTGGGTAATTGTTGTTGGAAATCTATACAACAGAAATATTAAATTCCAACGTGGGTTAATTTATTAAAAACAAGACCATTAAGATACGTATCAGATATTTCTCATAAAATATATTTTCTCAATTTTATTCATATATAACAGAGACTTCATAACAACAATTTTGGATATAAAAAAATTAATGAGGTGTAGAGTGTTTATTTATGTACATTCCTCTCCTTCTTACGGTTTGTGGAGACTATGGACAGTCACGAGATCTTGACGGTAAATTCGCACCAGATACAGTACATTGTTGAACGTTCGACGGTAGGTAATTCGTTTAACTTTTATATGTTAAGTAAGTGCGTCGCGTATAGTCGATTCCAGCTCCGCCGGCCAAGTGATGCAAACCCTTTTTTGTTTGGGGCGTGCGATCTCATTCTCCTCCAGCTCCATTTGTTGTCAGTCGTAGTCGAGATCAATCACATCCTCTTGTTCCATTGCGTGAGTTATGCAGGATTCACTGGAACTGGGTTCTGTCGATATTGTTCCTACCATTAGTGATGTAACGTAACACGTTGGATTTTTTGTATTAGCGACATAATTACCTATTCCTTTTGCAGAAGGTTCCGCTGCTGTGATTACTACGCTCTTATTTTTAACCTCCTCCCTTGAGCCGTAGATGCTTGATTCCTGTCACTTGAAGTAATACCTGGAATCGCTTGACTATTTTCAGCTATTGGATGTTGGTGCTGGCTGGAGTCACTTGGACCCACCTTACGCTTGACGATTTTTTTGTACTTTGCATCAACATATTCTTGGAGTTTTTATTGATTGCTGCAGGCTTCGGCAAGTATTGACATTTTGTTCTACTGTTGTTTATTTCGATCATTCTTGTGCGAAACTTTTCCGCGGAAATTTCAAATTTCGTTGTTAGTTCAAAAGACGACTGAGAACTTCCTCATGGCACACGTTCTTTAAATACTTGAATAGATAGCGGGTATTTGTTTTATGTTGCAGTTACTTTGCCGGTACATAAGTGTTAATGTCCTTTATATTTTAAGGATAACCATAGTGCACCCTAAGGTCGGCAATATGCGCCTTAGTTAATGTTGCTGTATTTTCTGCGCTAAGCTCTACTAACACTGGCGATATAAATTTTTGTACTTTGAATGGACCGTCGAATTTTGGTGCAAGTTTCGCTGAAAAATAGTTTTTGGCATTTGAGAGGGAATGTTGTCTAACCCACACTAATTGATTTATCCACGGCCTCCAATTCCGACGACGCAAGTTATAATACTTCGCCTGATTTGTTGCGACTTGTTGTAGATTATGTTGGTTGATTTTGAACACTCGTTGTAGTTTCTCGGCTTTCACTGCAGGGGTTACTTGCAGATTTCCTGTTCCTGGGGTGCATTCGACGAACAAGTTGGCGGGGAGTCTCAACACTCGCCATTGCACTAGATAGGCTGGAGTGTAATTTGTTGAATCCGATTTCGCAGTGTTAATGGCTAAAGTGATTTTCAGCAGCATCTCGTCCCACGTACGATGTTCGTCGCGTGCCGTTTGTGACATCAGTGTCTTAATAGTTCGGTTCGCACGCTCAGTAGGATTCTCCTGTGGCATGTACGATGCTGTGGTTCTGTGTGTAATACCCATCTTTACCAACCACTGCTTGAAAACATTACTAATGAATTGGCTAATATTCTTTCTCTCAACGCTTTGATCACATTGTCGGATGTCGCTAGACATGTGGGTATCAACTCCGTTCATTTCGAAAATTTATCTAGTATCACCAGTAGCATTGTATTTCCATTTTTCGATCGCGGTAGTGATCCTATAAAATCGGCTGTGATGGTAGCAAATGGCTCCTCAGGGATCGTAGTCAGCATCATTCCTTATTGATCATTCATTATTAATAAGTTATTGTCGCTCAGAGCAATAAGAAACGAAAATGCACAGGATTTAAAAACATTAATGGGTGATTTTAGAGAAGTGTTTTATTGTATACGTAATTTAAATGTGGACACGTCAAGTTGAGATCCAGTAATAATATAGATACGGCTTCCAAAATTAAATGGTGA